TGGAAGTAAATATTTTGAAACTGAATTTGTAACAATGGTTTCCATTTTCAAATATTGCATCCTTTCTGTTTTAAATAAATTGCAAACATTCTAATTACCTCTGCAAGCTAAATTCATAATTTTTTATACCTAAATCACAGGTGACACCTCCACTGACTCTTTAAGATCAAGAAAGGAGTTTGCACAAAGTAATTCATGTTTTCCATTTGAACTGCAGCTAGAACAAGGGAACTCCCCTTGAGAGCCTAGATGTTCCTTCCATCTCTGACTTTACTAAAATAAATGGATAAAACAGTGTGATCATGAAGTTCCCTAGGGTAGGGTGGTGCTTGCAAATTTTCTGGTACTTCAGCAGCTTAGCCTCAGTTTGCCTTTTTTTCCTGGCACTAGCCCACCCTCCCAAATTAATTGCTCATGTTTTTACAATGCCTTTTCCATTCCCCATCCCATGTTCAACTCATCCTTTAGCTATTGAGGAAAATGGCATCAAAAAAGGCTAAATGTCCTTATTGTACAGTTAACCCCTGTCAGAGAATATGGAAAATATAAGCCTAGGTGTTTCACATCCAATGCTAAATAGCATTAAAAGTATATGGACTGCCACAGGTATGTAAGGTATGTGCTGAAGGCAAGGAAAAAGAACATTTTAAGCATTTGGCAAGAGCTCTCATGAAATTTGAAATTACCCTAGTGGGCTTAAGCATGAAATATTATTCTGATTGTTTTCCTACAACTCTCATTCAATAGACTGAGCACTTACCTGGGGCCTATTTTTTTATAGCAAATATTTTGTAGCAAATATTGTAGAACACAATGGAAAGCAAGGAGATATTTTGTTTCTACCCTCCCAGACTCAATTACCCTTCTCCTATTTCTTAACCTCCTTCTTTGTTACCCCCCAACCCCTCAAACTCACACATAAATAAATGCACGGTCTACCCCTCAACTCCACTCTTAACCACATTTTGAAAAAGAATTTGAACTTGAAGGCTAAGTACTATACGTGATGACAAAATGAGAAAGGGAGAAGGGCGTTTCCTGCAGTGCTTTCCACATCCTCTGAGCTGAAGAAAGTCTATCATCCTTGCCATTTGTCACAAAACTCAATACAGTAGAAGGGTTTATAAATTCATTCTCCTAAGATCTCTAGATATCTATAAAAGTAATCTGGTGTTTGCATATTAAAACCCAAAGGCTGGGCTGGGGTTGTAACTCAGTGGTAGAGTGCTCATCTAGCATGAGTTCAGTTCTCAGCACTGCATATAAAAAAGCTAATTAATTAATTAAAGGTCCATCAACAACTAAAAAATATATATTTAAAACAATTGGGGGCTGGGGTTGTGGCTCCGTAGTAGAACACTCTCCTAGCACGTGTGAGGCACTGGGTTCGATCCTTAGCACCACCTAAAAATAAAGGTACTGTGTCCACTTACAATTAAAAATGTATATTAAAAAATTTTAAAAACCCAAAGGCTAATTATGTAAATCAATGTTTTCTAAATTTCAGTTTCCTCATCTGTTGGATACATAGTGATATACAGAAAAGCGTTTGAAAAAATGCAAAGGACCATGTAATAAAGGTACCACTATAATTGTTAACAAAGATAATAGAATATGAAAGAATAAAAGAGTGCTAGGTATAAAGTAAACTGATATCAACTGAATGAGCAAATTTTAAAGAATGTTTGTTTTAACCTTATATACAAAGTAACTAAAAGGGAAAAAAAAATCACGGAAGGTGACTGTTGGGCTTAATTTTATCCCTTTTACAATGCAAATTAAATCCTTATATCAATAATAAAGTTTTAAAATATCTTTTTACTGTAAAAATGGAAAGAATAATTAAAATATTAATAATTTCACTGGCAGACAGGATAAACAAGGGTTCAGTTAAAACCTCAAACACTGCTGGTAGAGGTGTAACAGTCCAACATTATATAGGGGAAATGAATGCATTTCAAGAGACTTAAAACATGCACTCACATCCATTCCACTTCTTAGAATTCATATTAGTGAAAAATTTTTAAAGTGAATATTCTTTTATTTATAAAAAGGTAGTTATGAAAATGCCCATCACAATATTTTTTAAAATAGAGAGTAAAGCATAGAATCAAGAATGTAGTATCTACAGTCACTGAATTTCTGGATGCACGTCCTGGCTTTGTTACTGGACATACTTTTCAATTTCCACATTTGTAAAATGCGAGTGATAACAACAACCTGTTCTATGAGGTTGCTGTGTCTATTTAATAAAATACAGTGGAGGCATCTGGGCATACTGAAAGTACTCACATGGTGAGACAATACTGATAATGAAAAATTAGAAAGCACCTGCATATTTAATGCATCATCTCATCCAAAGCAATATTATCTATCTTAGTCCATTTGGGTTGTTATAATAAAATACCTTGGACTTGGTAATTTATAAAAAATAGATACTTACTGCTCATAGTTCTAAGTCTAGTTCAAGGTACTAAGTGTATTGCAACCTAATGATCAAGGCGCCAGCAGATTCAGCATCTGTTCAGGGCACACTCCTCATAGATGGCAACTGCTATGCATTCTCACAAGGTGGAAAAACAAAGAAGCAAACGAGCTCCCATGTGTCTTTTTTTTTAAGGGAACTAATTCCATTTATAGGGGTTCTGTCCTCATTACCTAGTCACCTTCCAAAATTCTAACCTCTAAAAACCACTGCATTACAGATTGTTACAACACATTAATCTAGAGGTGGAATACATTTAGACCATAATACTATATATCAATTATTACAGATGAATATATGACTTGAAAAGATATTATTATAAAAGGGGAAAACAGGCTATAAAATAATATTACATGATTGAATATTAGTAGATGTTTAATAGACATTAATCAGTGTACCTAAACTGTTTTTTACTCAGATCCATTTCTCTCTCTAAAAATCTAGTTGTATTTCAGAAGAGCAAACATCAAATATGCTAATCTCAGTTTTTTCACCTCCTGTGTTTGGCACAACTAAGAATTTTTCTTGTGCTAAAATATTTTGGTACTCAGTGTATTGCAACATAAATGACTTGTTATAATAAAACAGAAGCATTTCTTTACTAACTGGTAAAGTCCTCCATGCCATAAAAAATGTCCTAAGATCCCATGTAATCTCATAATTCTACTACAGTAATTATATACATAATATACCAAGAAATATTACAGCTATCAGCTTTCAAATGCCTAAAATACTTTTTAAAGTCTGAACTATGATTCTATCTAACAATGTTTTCTTAGAGGATATGCAAAACAGATGTGCTTATTTATAAGTATGGAAGTATATGGAATTTTAAGAATGACATTTATAAAATGTAAAATTACTGCTGTTAGTGCTACCTCATTCTAACAAGAATCACTTAAGGAGTATTGACTGCTATTGATATTGAATAGAATTCTTAGTTTGCATTGCAAAAATGTTATTCTACCTTCTTCAGTGTATGAATCTCTTAATACCTAAGAGAGAACTACTTTTTACCCAGGTCTTTCTACTCTTAACAATAAAAACAAAAGCTGTTTGACCAATTTCAAGCAAATAAATACCTACATGCTTATGTTGAATATTACTAACATGGAAAAACTTAATGTTTCCTAATATTTTAAAATTAGCACCTTTGACTTCCACCATAGAAGCAAAAGAATGGCCATATACTGCTGTTAAGTGTCCCTTTCTTAGTACTCTATTATCTATCTCTTGTCATTATTAACACTTTAATAAGCAGGATATATAAATCACAAATTTCTTATCTTTGAACCTTCAACTTTGAAGTTCATCTCTGAAACTAAAAGAGTGTGACAATGTGGTTTGTTACATGAAAAAATGTTGTACAGATTCAGTGGGTAAGTGAGCACAGGAAAAAGTTAGAAAAAAAGAATACTCACAATCAGACATCTCCCAAGCTAAAGGATGCCGATTATATTCAGCTGAGAAATGCTATAAAGCTGCTAATCATGCTGAGTTTGGCTAGACTACAGGTGCTTTCCTTGACATCCTGGAAAAGTTAAGCTGATGTCACCACTTCATGTCTGGGACAGGTAGACAAGAACCCAGGAAGATTAGCATCAATCTCACAAGATCAGATAGAGCGACTTTGGCTATGTTCTTTTGTTTTTGGTCAAAAAGAATTCCAACTGGAGTTACAAGTTTTAAAAAAAAAAAGCAAAACAAGCAAGCAAAAAAAAAGAAAAAACCAAAACAACACAACAAAAACCTAGAAAGTTCTTTTCTTCCTTTTCCCATAATGAAACTTAAGTTTATTGCTTCTGGTTTGAGGCAGATTGTTAGGTATGTCCACATGACTGCTTTCTGGTTGCATTTATGATTACTAGGATGGAATTACAAATACTCCAATATTACTTCCAGTCCTCAGCCAGATGTGAATCTGCCAAGTTAAACAAAGACTTAAACTTAAGATTCTCAAAATTTTCTCGTTACCTTTTGTCCCAACAAGGAGTGAATACTGATTAGGTTATTTAAATATAAAAATTAGTGAGAGCAGCATTACTCACATCTATAATTCAGAGAAAAGATCCAGTACCATGGAGAATAGAATACTAGGGTTTAAATTTGAGCTCTAAGAACCACAATCCCAGATAGTATTCACTAGGGAGAAAAAGAGAAGACTTCTTGTTTAGGAACTCCAAATACTTCCAGTTTTACTTTTTTGTCCCCAGGGAAATAGATTCTTAAAGCCTCTATTTCATTTCGGGATTGGGAATACCCTGTAGGTCATTTTGAAAAATGTTTTTTTCTTCATATTAAGTTTATTACCTAGTTTAAAAGAGACTATTTGCCAAATTAGATGTTTTCATGTGTTCTTTTGTTGAATGAGTACAATCATCTACAAATGAGTTTCCTATTAGAACGCACTTACAACACAGCTCAAAACAAAATGACTTTTTTAAGTTAAGAGTAGATTTTAAAGACATTAAAAACAACTTATTGCTGAAAACACACACAAAAAAGGACAAATTGGTTGAAAGTTTCACAAGAATGGAAAATGTTTAATAAACTTAGAATGGCGGGCTTATTAAACTATAGTGTTATTTACAGCCATAATTCATCAACCACAAACACCAGAGTGTGTTTGCCTGGCATGCTGCAACAGAAGCTTTACTCCCTTCATTCAGAAAACACTGGCAAAATAATTTCAGTTGCAAATTCACAGATACAAGCTTCAAAGTATAAAGTTGTATATAACAAAAAAATACAGGTAATATTTATAACAATAACTTACAGATACAAACTAATGATAAACTACAATTTCACAAAAGATTGTAAACATTTTGCACATTTGTCAGTCCTTTCTTTTAGGCAAAGTGCTCTTTTGATGACAAATAAATTAACAGATACACACTAGAGTGAACTATTTCCAGACAATACAAAAAAACATGTTTTGTTTTGTTTTCTTCTTGTAAACATAAGTTTTACCAAAAAAAAAAAAAAAATGAAGAATAAAAGTGTCTTGCAGGCCAACTATAGATACATACCTGGGCAGCAAAGTGATGTTGGAAATGCTTTTGGTGTTAAATAAAAAAATTAACATTAATATCTTTTCAATGATATTTTATACATAATAAATGACAAGTTATATCCTTAATCATTTCTATCCCTGAAAAAAGAAATTAGGTATGACTTATTGGCAGTTGTGTCATTGAATGGGGTAACAAAGGCTGGAGTCCAAGAGTTGTTGGTGAATGAGCTACAAAATAGAAATAGAAAGAAATTTGAGGATCAGGTGGTTTTTTTTTTTTTTTAAGAGTGAATAAAACTGATTTAAAAACAAACAAAAACAATTCAAAGCAATGTATTTTCTTCATGCATTACAGCTGAGGGCACCAAGCTATACTCATTCCACAGACCCCAGCAGGAACAGTAACTTATTCATCATAGTGGTACTGTATTGAACAAGAATCCATTTTACCCCTCAAAATATTTATTGGGGCCACAAGCTTTGGCCACTTTAATGTACTCCATCCATACCCCATTCACTGCACTTTACACTGTAGCTAGAAAAACACACAGCTTGTTCTGCAGAGATGTTGCTGGTTTTAACATGCAGGAGTCTATACAGGATGTCCTCCCAGGTTCCCTTAGTACCACCTCCCCAAACATACACCAAAACACATTTGACTCAGGCAGTACCACAGTCTTTCATATGAACACACACAAAGTTAATGCTAGTGTAAACAAATGGCAACAATGGTATAGCTTTGGATTTTTTTTTTATTTAATCAAAACTTAAAATGAAGTCCTACTTTCAGCAAGGGCTGTGTTTCTTCAAACCTAACCTCCCTCTGAGAACAATTAGAAATGCTGGACGATATTTTTAAAAATCTGTTGGAAAGCATCTGAAAGATACCAAAGTAGTGAGAAATTGCAAAGTCAAGTACCAGAGAGGAAGGAGAGAATATGAGGCTAAGGGACAATTTTAAAATAAAAGTAACATTTAGAAGTTAGATTTTGGCTGAATGATAGGATACAAAAATAAAAGATTAGGACCCACTAATGAGAAAAAAGTTGTTGAAAACAACAAACAAAAAAAAAACTTAGGCTTTTATTTGGAATCCCAAAGTGCTAAATTCAAGAAGCAGTGAAACAAATATACTAGCCTCATGAAGACTGATTGGGCTAAGTTTACCTCCCCCTACCTCAACACTGTGCCAAGGTAAAACTCATCCTCTCTGGTGAAAGATATCATCTAGAGCCTCAATTTTTTTTTTTTTTTTTAGTTTTTTTCAGACCCAACATCTGAAACACAATGAAAAGATAACAAGGCAAATAAGAAAACATGACTTGACCGAAAACAGGAAACAACAAAAACAGGACTGACCTACAAAAGACCCAGATACTGGAGTTTTCAGACATGAACTTTAGCATAATTGTAATTAATATAACAATAATTTAAATAAGGAAGATAGTGAAAAAAGAGGCATCTGCATAGAAATGGAAATTCTCAAAATGAAAAACACTACAACTGAAATTAAGAAGCCAATGGATGAGTTTTATGGGTTCTTAGATACAGAAAGAATTACTGAACTTTAAGATAGGTCAGAAGAAAATATCTAGATTAAAGCATGGGGAGTAAAAAGATTGCAAAATTTGATTTTTTTCCCCATGGGCAGAAAACAATTTTTTAAGAGAAAGAAGCTGAGAGTGTCTCATAATGAAAAACATCAAACTACATATTCAAGAAGCATACTCGGGCACAAAACAAAAATTTTAAAAACCAAACATGAAGAGAAAATCTGGGGGGAAAAGCCATTTACTTGCAAAGGAGCAAGATAAGGATAAGAGCTGCCCAACAATAAATGATGTCAGGTCAATTGGCTATCCATAGGCGAAACAGTCAAAATGGAAACCAGAAAAGAACGTAGTCATATCTTCAAAGTACAGTGTAAGGAAATAACTGATAACCTAGATTTCTACATACACAGGAAATATCTCCTACAACTGCTTCATAGGAAATGTTGAGAAATAAATGTAATAGAATGTATACAAGATTATTAAAAAGCTCTGAAATATAAGAAATAATTTTAAAATGTGAATTAAATATGCAGACATATTAAAGTTCATGATATGAAATTAACATTATTAAGATAGTAGTTTTCCTAAAATTGATCTATATATTTACTGGATTATTGTTTCAAAATCTTGTTTTCTCTTTGCAAGATGGAAATGGACAAGCTGGTGAAATTTATGAAAACACAAAGGGTCAAGAACAGGCAAAACAAATTTGAAAAACAACAAAGAAAGACTTGTATTATCTGATAATAAGAATTACAGACCTAGCATAATTAATGTGACTAGGTATTAATACAAAGCAAAATCGAATAATGAAACAGAATAGTGTGTACAGAAATTGATACATAAAAGTTATGAACATATGATTGAAGACAAAATGGCTCTGAAAAGGAGGGGGAAATTTCATCAATATAACAAAAAAGCTTCACTTCCTATTTGACACCACATGCAAAAATTATTTCTAAGTATAAATGAATGTCAAGGTAAATCTAAATGTCAAAGATATGATAAAGTTTCTAGATGATAGGATGAATATCTTCATTATCTTTGAATTGGAATAATTTCTTAAGTCATCCAAAAAGCACTGTCCATAAAGGAAAACACAGATGAAATGAACTACATTAAAATTAGGAACTTGTACTCAACAAAAAAAAAAAAAAAGAGAGAGAGGAAAAGGCAAACCACTGAGGAGAAAATACTTTCAACACATATTTATCACAAAGCATTGTATGCAGATTATACCAGGGAATAAAATCAATTTATAAAAAACAAATCAATAGGCATGTGTGAGCTTTTCACAAGAGGAGATACAGATACCCAAGAGAAAATATACTTGCTCTCATAAGTCATGAGGGAAAAGTAAATTAAAATAATGAGCACTACACCACCAAATTTGCTAGAATTAGAAAGTTATAGATAGCATTCTAAGTATTATAGGGGAACTCTTCTGTATGGCTGCTCAGAGTTCAAACTGGTTCCACCACTATAGAAAAGTGGAAGAACTGACTATAGGTGAGCACCTGCATAGCCTAAGACCCTTTGTCCCACTCCCAGGTATATATCAAATAGAATTAATGTGCACCAAAAGGCATGTACAGTAAAATCCATAGCAGCATGTTCATAAGTACCCACACTAGAGGATACACAAATGTCTATCAACCATAAAACAGATAAACTGTGCTAAGATTCCCACAGTAGAATTCTTTATAACAATAAGATAAACAAATCACTGACTCTTGCAACAACACAGATGAATCTCACAAGGTAACTGAAGAGTGAGACACATAAGAATACATTCTGTATGGTTCAATTTATGTAAAGCTCAAAAAAAGACTAACTAAGGCAAGGCTTTAGAAGTCAGAGCTATGTTACTTGGAAGAAAAGAATAATAATTAGGAGGAGACATGAGGGAGGCTTCTGGGGTGCTAATTATGTTCTCCTACTTCACTTGGGTAGTATTTATGGGGCAGATTCACTGTTTTAATACATTTAGCTGAAAACTTAGGCATGTACTTTTCTCTATAGGTAAGATTTGCCTCAATAAAAAGTTTAACAAAACTTAAACCCCAATCTAAAGATCTAAGTGTGAATACCGTCTTTGATGGTAGGAAAATAAATTATTTAAATATTTACCAGATAAAAACAAACAACAACAACAAAAAAAAAAAAACAGTAAAAATCAAGCAGTAAGAGTCATTATCAATATTTGCACTTTTAGCTAAAGTGAGTGTCAAATTTGTCTCCTAAAGATGGAATAACAGAAATAAAAATTGGGGGACAATTGTGCTGTCTACTGTACCCCTTATAATATTTTTCAGCTACTACTGAGGTAATATTTCCAAATATGTCGTATCAATAATCTAATATTAGAAGTTAACAGTTAGTGATTGCTTGGAAGAAACCTGTTAGATGTTGGGATACCTACCATCCATGTAACTATGCAGCGCAGTTAGCATCGTCCCATCTTGGGGCACGTAGGCAGAATACGCCATTTCTTCTAACATGGGTGGAGACAGCCTGGAGGGCGGGACTGCAGTGACTGGGGCTGAGGAAGAGTGATTGGGACTCACGTGCTTCTTGTGGCGTGCTCTACAATTCTGAAACCACACCTTAAGGGGAGAAGAGCAAGGTTAGTAGGTCAAGGTTGGAAGGTCACATGTCAGGTAGGTCACCCTGAGTGAATTACCAACCCAGTTTAAAAATGAATTCAACATCACTCTACCTTTTAAAAAAGTTCTGAAGACAGAAAATACACTTTTTAACCCAGATAACCACAGTTATATTTTCCCCCTCAGATAAGAGCTCTCTGGTGATTTACTTTAAAAGCCGATTCTGTACTAAACCAATATAAAAAAAAAAAAAAAGACAAAATGACATTGAGAAGAAGGAAAATGTGTAGAAAAAGGGATGAAAAGGTCCAGAAAAGTGTCCATGGTTTAACTACTGGCATTTGGAGGTAAAAGAAAAGGAAAAGTCTTTTTAAAAAGAACTTAAAAAAATGCTACTAAATGTATTCTTAGACACCTGCTGGACTTATTTCTAACCCTTGTTCAAATGATCAAAATCCCTACAGAGAACTTAAAGCTTTCTATAAGCCTCTTGATTCAGTTATTCCAGTTAACATTTTAACCTGCTGAGTTCAATTTCTCTTAGTGAATACATAGACTATTTCCTAGGAAGCGTGTTAAGGACAGGTGTATAATAAGAAAAAGCTAGTAATATTTAAATAGAACTAAATACAAACACATCCACTGATTAAAGCRTTCACAAAACGTAAAGCACTATCTACTCTGTTTTCCATTCTATCCACAGAAATGAAGCGAATTCAGGGGAAGCAAGGTCTTACATTCAGGTCTGGGTAAGGGAGGCTAGACCATCCATAATGCTACTAGTAATTAATCAGCCTGTTTGGAGTCCTCGCCATGAAATAAATCTTGACCACAGAATTTTGCTCTATTAAAATATTATTATATCAGAGTTGGGGATGTAGCTCAGTGTAGAGCACTTGCCTAGCCTATGTGAAACCTTGGGTTCCATCCCTAGCTACTGCAAAATAAATATACATACATATATCCATATACACACACATATATATACATATATACATATACACATAGACATACATGTACATATACATGTGTATATAATATATACATATATATGTAAATTGCCATCATTCCAAAAAATTCTGTCATAAGAAGAAAAATAAGGGAAGGGATCAAAATGTCAAGAGAATTATGATGGGAAACTTTGGGGGACAGGGAAGAAATGGCCAAGATCTCTGGTCTGTTCAGGGTTGGCTGGTAGAAACTTGAAGGAAGAAGGGAATCAGGGCTACAAAGAATTTATAAGAACAAGTTGGCCTGATTTCAAAGACATACCCTTCCACTGGCAATCAAAAATAGAAGGCTGGTGAAGTATAAACTCAAGAGATTAAAACTAAAAGAGTGAAAGTTAACAATGTAATGATATAAGCAGCTCTGAGCAGGTGGCTAAAAGGCAGCACCCAAGGAAGGTTTCCGGGACAAGTCTCTGGCATGCACCAAGGAAAAGGAGTGAGAATTGAAGCCATCCCCAGCACTCTCTGAGTTATAGACCCTGAGATACCTRTAGAGAGACCCTACTCAAATTCTCCAGTCAGCCCACAGGCAAACAGTCAGATGATGTCACTGCAGTCACCAGTCTCACCCAAAGACATCTGTCCTCCTGGCAAGTGGGTGGAGAGAAGTGATGCCACCTGCCTTTTCCAGAAGTCACACACTCCAGAGAACTACATACARCCTCATGAACTTGCACTGTGCTTCCTGGAATTTCTTCAAAATATCTTTTTGTCTCTAGTAAATTGTATGGATTATATAACAAACAACAACAACAACAAAATTATTATCTTTTCATTGAAACAAAAAATATTGTCAGACTTTGGAAATAAATTGGAAATTTGGAAGAATGTGTGAMAAATGGAAGAATAGTTACCCTAACATTAATTCAAACAAAAAAAAAAGTGCTATTCACTTTCAGGATTCAAATATAAGTCCTTTGGACTCCTCACCTACTTGCAATTTCCTCCTGCTTTGCAAATTGCTAACAAGAGTTAAAAATTTCTCTGAACAACACAATTTAMAATTTTGGAGTTCTAAATCATAAACTACATAAGGTGAAAACAGGTCATGGAGACATCATGCAAAAGAAAAAACTAACATTAAAATGAATCCTTTAGAATGCCCAGACTAAAAGACAAATACAACAATTCAGTATATGAGAAAGATGATATTTAGTATTATTGTGAAAGCATGGCTTACTAATTTAGGGAAAACTGGTTAACAATTCAAAAGAAAAATACAGATAAATCTTTACCTCAGATGAAACTAATCCAGATAAAGTTTAGGTACAAATCATTGAAACCATGAATTTTTAAGAAAACAAAAGCCAATATTGATAACATACTTTTCAGATAATTTTGGCCTTTGTGCTATGCTTCTCTATCAAAAGATTAAGAAATTTAAATACATAAAAACATAAAGTTCTATGTAGGAAAAAAATTAATGAAAAGGAAAATGATGGACCATGAAAGTTTAACACAATAAACAGGATTAATAAAAATTAGTAAGATGAAGACAGAAGAAATAACTCACAGAAATATAGATTGAAAATAAATAATTTTAAATTATGAAATAAGCAAACATGTTCAATTCCATTTATTGTTTTATTTTTTATTTTTATTTTTACTTTTTTGAGGTGCTGAGGATTGAACACAATCTTGTGGGCCTTGTGCATGCAAGGCAAGCCCTCTACCAACTGTGCTGTATCCCCAGCCCTCCATTGATATAAAAATATAAAAAAWATATATCAAATATATTTAATAATCTTACTCCTGTGAAAACTCCTGTATATAGGTACTGGCTGGAAAAGAAAAATGGTATGAACTTTCTAGAAAGCAATTTTTGCATAAAGACTCTAAAAATGTTCTTTTTATTCAGCGATCTCACTTCCTATCTTTTTGTTCAACAATCTCACTTCTAGAAATTTATCCTAAAGAAACTGTTGAACATACAAACAAAATATAGTGTTGCTTATGGCAACATTTTTTGCGGGTGGGGAGATTGAACCCAGTGGTGCTTAACCACTGAGCCAYATATCCAGCCTTTTYATATTTTATTTAGAGACAGGGTCTGAGTTGCTTTAGAACTTGCTAAATTGCTGAGGCAGGCTTTGAACTTGAGATCCTCCTGACTCATTGGGATTACTGGCTTGCACCACTGGCTTCCTGCTTAAAAATGGCAACATTTTAAGATAATGAAAAACTAGACACAAAATAAATTATCCAATGCTCAATATATTCAGCAATAAAAATTATGTGCATCTCAGCTTTTGGAAGGGCAATCCTAGTCACACTGATTGAAAACAACACCAATAATGTTTTACCTTGTTTCTGTAAAATATACAACCCATAATTAACTTATCTGAAAGGGTATATGAATAATGATTGGCTCTGGATGAAAAGTATTAAAAAYCATCCATCTTTATTCTCTGACTTTAGCACAATGACAATCTGCTATTACAAATGTCCCACTAAGCAGACTTGAAGCTAGTGAAGTTGAGACTCTCCATGTGWCAGACCATTGCTTCCACCTCATCTTTGGATGACCTAGTTTGCATATTACAACAGAGATCTAGTAATCAAAACTCTTTTCCTTAATGTGTCTCAAGTGCTCTGCCCAACATTAGGAAGGAGGTTGGGGGAAAGACATAATTACTATTTGAGGTCACAGTACTTAATTCTTCAAAAACACTGAAGAACTATATATTTAAATTACATATACATATGTATATATACAAATAATATATACATTTGCTTGCTAGTACTCTTTGTCAGCTTATGAAAAATATCCAACATGCAATCTTTACATTTAAAAAGCCAAAATCAAAACTATATTCTGTGAGTTTTAGCATTTGAGATCAAGTTAACATACACATAATACTGGGAGTTAAATACCTGAGAATTACAAGACAAATGTCTGATTGGGACCCTTAGTCCTTCAAATATAATAAGAAATGCTCTAAGAAGGCTTTCCATTCTATTGTGCTTCTGACCAAAATAGTCTAATCCTAACAGTCAATGAATCTGGCTTTCTTGTAGCCTTCATTACTATGAATGTGCAAAGTCTTAGATTAGAAGCAACACTGGACCTTTGAGTCTGACCTGCCTTCAAAGGAAATTTCATTTCCAAGCACATGAAATGATCTTTAGTGATGGCCATACCATATTTGTAGTCTTTCACATGAAAAAGTTCATTATGAGTGAACATCAGTTTTTTTTTTAATATTCTTTTGCAGACCAGTCTTTATACACATTTAAAGATACCTATTCTGTATTAATTGTTCCTTTCCTATTTCCTGACCATCTCCAGTTAACTATCCTTATTGCCTTCAATATTATGGCAATTTTAAGATTTTTTTTTTTATTACTTTGGTAGCTTTTCTTAAAGGCAGCATTCTTTCCAGATTGGCTAACAAGCCAAACACAATACTAAAATAAACACAATACTCTGAACATCTGAAATGTGCAAAGGATGTGGGACTTGCCTCCTAAGACAGCCTCATACTGCAGTCAACTAAAACCACTGGGGAATTAATCTTTAGAGAAGCTGCAGTGTTCTTAGGTCTTTCCCGTATGTTTCTTTATATAGACAGTTTGTTAATGTGAAACATTTTTAGCTTCTCAAAGAATATATACCTGTGTATCAACCTCCCAACTTAATAAAATACAAATACAATGAAGGTATTTATCCACCACCCCCAAATAAATTTCATTTTACTTTAGTTCCTTAAAATTTTTTGAACCTCAAGTATTATTTACCTTCTACTTCACTATTCTTTTTATACCATTCTGTTAGTTGGTTGCCTCCTTCCTGAAGCAGCCACTCTTCTCCAGGCTTCCCACTGCTTCTCCACCAGGCTCCTTCCTTGATTCTAAGTATTACTATGTCCCAACGGCAGTACCTCTGACATGTTTTCTCCCTAATGCCTACCCTTTTCGGTTTTTGTTGTTGTTGTTTTGTTTTGGTACYGGGGATTTAACCCAAGGGTGCTTTACCACTGAACCACATCCCCAGCCCTTTTTATTTTTTGAGATGAGGTCTCACCAATTTTCTTAGGGCTTTGCTAAATTGCTGAGGCTGGCCTTGAACTTGGGAGTCTCCTGCCTCAGCCTCCCAAGCTGCTGGGATTACAGGCAGGTGCCTCCCAGCTCATTTTTATGCTCTATGATCTCCTTCTAAAGGATCTAACCCAAAGGATCTCTTTGCTCTAGTACTGTTCATCCTTTCAAATACTTGTCTTCATATCCAACTGCCACCATCACTGAATGATTAGCACAACTAAAAGGGACTTCATCTTCCTCCAAACAACCAACCAGGTGTTTTTTTTTTTTTTAACTTTATTTCTGTTAAGAGTACCAATCCTATTGATATTTTGATTCTCTCTGCTTCTCTACTACAGTCCCCAAGTCCTTTTCTGGTATCCCTATCATCCAGCTCCTGACATCTCTTGAGCAAATTCTAGTTAATAAAATGTTTCTCCAACAAATCCTAGGCCCACTAACTCACTCTATCCCCCCAGCCCCACCCCCCAAATCACTACTTTGCTGGGTATCCCAACTAAGTTGTCTGCTTCTAACTAGTCTTCTCTAGATTCTGATTCTTCTCATATGCTGTCACAAGCTCTTCCTCAAGTCACAAATAATGGCCTTTTTCTGACCAAAAAGAACTCTGCATTCATAGGCCTCTGCAACTACAACAATTTCATCTTCCATAATTTCTAAACCTCAATTCTACATTCTAATGAGTTTGCTCTAATTCATCCCTCCCTAGCTTCATTTACATAACTCCCTCTTCCTGGATCTTTTAGCAAAGCCCACTAATACCCTTAACATACATACATCTACATACATACACACACACACACACACACACACACACACACACACACACACACAGTCAAAAAAAGTAGAAAACACTGAATTCAGAACCAGATTGTGCTTGGAATTTCAGTTCTCTTTCTTAGCCTGAGGATCTTGGGGCTGCTGTGAGCACTGAATGAAAACATGCAAAGAGTCATTTAGCAAAAGGCAGCCTGACCCAAGGTAGACTACTTATCAGGTTTTAAAAAATTGATTTAGAGTGTGAAAAGACCTAAAACAGGAAGGTAATATTATGAGATTTCTTCACAAAAGAACAATGCACACTCAAAGATCTGGAATTGGAAATTTTTGTATCTCTTGATTGACCTTTAACATAATCACCTGTATCACACGTCTGCTCAAGCCTGTCCTCTCTGCCAGTTTCTGGAGGGTCTGTGCATCTGGGTTGTTGTCCTGAGCAAATTGTGCTTGCATGACCTGTTTTATAAAAGATGTACGTAGCAAATAGTTAAAAATTTAGATCAATCTAAATTTTGATGACAGAAAAGATAAGATATGCACAAGAAAATGTGATACTTATACTCTACGACTTGAAAATCAATATGGGAAGTATGTATAAGTGAAAAGGCATATTTTGTGAATTGCTATGCAAAAGTTATGCTGAGCTCTTTAAAAAATAACCCACTTCAACAGAAAATTTGGTCTCTCAATTATGCTGTTAGAAATAAACTCACCTTTTCTTACTTCCATTTTTAGAACCCATAAATGAAATGCATAAATAGTATGTAATTCTCACTATTTTATTCATTCTGTTAAACTTCCCAGCATTCAAAAACATAATAAAATATAAAAATCATATCACATTTATCTGCCACCTCTACTGARCTAAACAAGTACAATATCTATAATATAAACAAGTATAATATCTATAATTATAGTAATATAATTTTCATTCATCTGCAGATAGTGAACAGCTCAAAAGATGAATTCCGCTTGGTTGTAATGATGCCATCATTTGGGGATCATTCACTTTATGCAAAAGACTATTTGAGATCTTTTAAAAAAAAAGACATCATCAGTCCATTGAATAAGAATTTATCAGGGGCTGGGGATGTGGCTCAAGCGGTAGCGCGCTCGCTTGGCATGAATGCGGCCAGGGTTCGATCCTCAGCACCACATACAAACAAAGATGTTGTGTCCTCCGAAAACTAAAAAATAAATATTAAAATTCTCTCCTCCCTCTCCCTCTCCCTCCCTCCCTCTCCCCCCCCTCTCTAAAAAAAAAAAAAGAATTTATCAGGATCTAAACATCTCTATATTGAAACAATTCACAGGTGATTCTGATGGGAGTCTTTGGATTGGAATCCCTGTGTCAAGTGCTATGAGATATGAAGAAAACTTTCCCTGGTCTTCATTTTCCTGAAAGATACAGGCATGCCAATAATGACCTAAAATAAGAAGTAAAGGGAGAAAAGGAGAGGCGAGTAGGGAATATCAGAATATAAGCACAAGCCAAGGACTCTGGATTATTCCAGAAGAGGGAATCATTATGGGAATAAAGTAAGATATTTGAATTTAATTATTAAAAGTCAATCAGCTGAGGAGAGGATTATAAAACATAAAAGATGTCTTGCAAACAGTCAGGGAAGCATCCAACATGTAGTGCACGTCTACAGTGTGGGGCATGAGTGCCCAAAATACCTAAGCACATAGAGCACAGCTCGCCTCAATGCTCTTTCCAACTGGCAAACACAATCAGCTGTGTTCTCCACTATTGTCCTTGTGTAATACTATCATCTGCATCTGCACTTGTCACAGGGTAGCTAAATAATTCATCTGCAAGTTCACTGTCCATAGCAGAAAGTGAGCTCYTTGAGGACAAGGGCAGTGACTTACTCTTCATAACCTCATGGGCTACAGCCAAGTTAACTCCTTTCCTGTCACACAGTGTGCACTGGGAGTTCATGACAGAATGAGACTTACAGTGAGTAAAATCTGGTTAAAGTCTGCAGAAAAAGGCTAATGTCCAGGAAACCTCCTGAGGTTACAAGCTATATTTTCAATTAAGATTTGAGGGGCTGGGGTTGCGGCTCAGTTGTGAAGTGCTTGCCTGGTACATCTGAGGCACTGGATTCGATTCTCAGCACCACATAAAATAAATAAATAAAGGTATTAAGTCCATCTACAACTAAAAAAATATTAAAAAAAAAAAAGATTTGATTAGTGGCTCTTCTAGACTTACGTATTCCTGGCTTCCCATCCAGCTATGCTTAACCTATACACTGTCAATAAAACATAACTTTTTAGTTTAAAAATATAGGCAAAATGGCCTAAATGTTTATAATCTCACTCAGTTCATTTTATTATTCCTTTCCTACTCCAAATGTGTTACTTTAATATATTCCTATATGAATGAGGATTTGTGTTTAAAGTTTGACATGTACCATCCCAAAAACAAACAGAATGACCAAATTAATCATGTCTTTGTGTTTTAATTTTTCAAAAAGAAAAATCTGAGCAAGTATTTGGGTGTTTGCTAAGAAGCTCGTTACTGATAATCTCTAAAAAATAAACAGCATGCTTTCAYAAATGCATATCCAGTTTTCAAGTTTAATAATGAGACCAAATTATATCTAATAAAGCAATTTTTCATCAAAGAATAAAACAAATCAACAGTGATCATTTAGAATTGGAATATTCTTAAGAAATACTTATTGATCTTCCTTTTGATAATATTAGTATTTAGTCTCATGAAAAAAAAATAAAAGGGCTTTTTAATTTCTACTTTAGTTTCACCATTCTCCAGATGCTTCTGAAGCCCACTCCACTCCTTTTTTCAAGTTCTTCTAACATGGTCTAGGGGTGAGTCTCTATAGACACATTATTTTAAGGCCAAGAGATTTATGGCAATGTCAGGAGTCGACACAGTAACAGTTGACCAATTTGATATGAAAATTAAAGTAAGAGCTAAACTTGGCATGTTTAATAGTAATAATCTTTGAGCCAATATTTGTAACTATAATAGGAAAATCATAACATTAGTAGGAATTTCTTAAATATCATTTTTATAAAGAGACAATATCTGATATGTATTTGCAGATATATTTTTTGAGTCAAACTATTTTTCTCTCCATGAGTTTCTAAAGAATTTCAGGAAATTATTTATTCATCCTATTTTAACTCTTCTCTGTGCACTGTAGACACTGTATGGACAGTCTTGACTTACTGTGCACATATAATATCTTACTGTTTTGCTCAGTTCAAGCAAAAATACTTGAATATATTCAGGTTTCTTAAAGAAAGGTAAAACAATTGACAATTAGAGATTCTGACAAAGTAAATATATATATATAGTTTTTATCCACAGCTATCCTGTATTCCTAAATTATAAAGAACCTCTAGAGGATTGTATCTCATTTGATTCAGCCATCCCTGGCATAAGATAAATACTATTAAATACTGAATAAATGAGAACATCCTTTGAAAGCATATCAATATGCTTTCATTTTTTAAAACCTATGATTCTAATATACATGTTAATCGCTTTTAATTCAGATCACATTTTTCTATAACATAAGGCTTAAATATTTTATGCACATTTGCAACAACTTAAAACTGTAAGACTACCCATAAGATCCAGAATCCCACTCTGTTTTAGCTGTTGATGTTGCCATTAGATGGAGTTTTGCTAAGGCATATTTTCTCTCATGGTCTACTGGGAAGCCAAACCAAACAAAAAGACCAGGTTAGGGAACCAGGATTCAGATGTCTTTTCTACCATTCTCCTGGAGGTCTGTCTTCAGGGGAGTTCCTGAATCTTTTGGAGAGGCTACCTACATCAAGGAATAACTATAGGAGTTAAAGGAGATAATACAGATAAGATGCCTGGCACAGGACTTGTCCTACCAAGGCTTTCACAGATATTCCCTTATGTCTATACACAGGGGTTTCAAATTCACACAATTATAAATAAATTTTTACTTCAAATTAAAATTATYAACCTTTGTAATTTTTCAAATTATAGACAATTCATCATGGGAACTGTCCACTTTWAAAACAGTACATTTGTATTAGAGATTCTGCTTTAACCCAGACACTTTTTAGCAACTGGGTCTCTAAGGACTTGTGTGATCTCCATTTTAAYTCATGGAAACTGCGAGGCAAGCAAGGTTTGAACAGAGATATTTCTTCTAATTGCCTTATCTTTCATTTATTACTTACTGATCAAGTACTTTATGCCTAAGAAATACAAAACAATGATGTATTTGGAACTTTTTTCTGAATGGTCCTAGATTTTAATGCTCAAGTCATTCCCACTGCCAAGTTCCCTCAGAATGTTTGTAATCATTCTCAAAATAAAAACTTCTCTCTTAAAACACTTTTATATGGCATCCATCTTCAATACCAGCAAGTCTTAGAATGCTACATATGATTTTTCAAAATATTACTTTCACTCATTAACAAATGCATAAATGTCTTTTGAAGTCTGAACTAAAATGGATGCTATATCTAAGGTACCCAGTTGTACATGGTAGGTGCCCAATAAATATTACATTACCTTAACATAAAACACACAACCTAAGCGACATAAATCTTTTAGAAAAAGTTATTTTCTTATCTGAAAAAGTGCCAGAAATAATCATCATATGTATAGACTTAAATATCAACTTTTATCTTCTTGACAATTTGGATCAACCAAATTTACAACAATTATATTTAGGACAACTAAACTGAAAATAATCCCATCCTTTTCAGGGGCATAGCCAACCTTTAACATAAAATTATGTAATTACTTCCTCTACACCTTTTAAAAACAAGAAACGGACTACTTGATTGGAGTCAACCAGCAGCATGTTACTATTTACTTCAAGGAATACTCAATTCTTTCCTACTCAAAAAAATATAACAATCTTGTCCATTAAGAGGCTCATTGTAGTTTTTAAAAAAAGACTAACACATTAGAGTCCCATAGACCTACATGCTGTCTCTTTCTGTTAAGAGTCTCAGAATACTTTGTCTCCTGTTGTGATTACATGTCATAACATATATGGCTAGATTAGACTGATGTTATCATGAAATCAGAACAGATCAACATTTTGTTTCTACTGTGCTGCTGATACCAAAAGACTCCAAGGAAACAGCACTTGTATGACTAGACTATACACACAGTGTGTTGGAATACTGATAAACATTTCATGGCAATAAGTATATATTCATACATTCATTAAGTTCTCAAAAAAAAAGCATAGGATAACCTCTCAGAAAACATGAATGTTTTTAGGCATCATGAATTTTGCTTTTTGTTTTGTTTTGGAATTTTGTTCTTGGTGGGGAAGGGCTCCAAAAATCTTAAATTCATTGTCACGTCTACCTGGAGTTGATCTGCTGTAAAGCTTGTCCGAGCTCTTTTTGCTGGTTTTGGATGATTGACATCTTGTTCTGTGAGGAGGGCACCTTCCACACTAATCCCATTACCTGCATTTTAAAAATGTACCATACATATTGGTAACTCAAATCAGTCCACCAATCATGCAGTAATAGCTTTCTTGTATCTCTTGGCTTATTGTGAAACTGTACATATCTTCTAGATTGTAAAATCTCTTTAAGTTTTAAAACACACTGTAAACATATTGTGGAAACAATATTCCATTTATAGACTTATGTTTTCAGTCAAAAGTGCAAAAATTTAGAAGTCACATTTAAGGCCCATTCTTTGGAAGGCAAATAAAACAAAACAATTGTTTTCAAAAAGAAAACCTGAACCTTAACTAAAATCTGCTGCCTGAAAATATGGCACAAAGCTTATACATACACCATGGTTTCTCCTATAAATAAACAGATGGAGACCATCACTAACAGAAGAGTGCTTAATGAATTTTACCACAATTATACTTTGCACAAAATAATGCATTAAGATGACTTTGGGAAAAATCATTTTTATCCCTGTATTCACTGTCCCCAAAGACTCAAAAGTATTTTAAGTACATATTTACCATTTTCCACTTCTCTTTTTAAATTATCCAGCATGCAGTCATAATGCACCCTGCATAGGACTTTCTCTTCCACCAATGCAAACTCCTCTCCCGTGGAAAGTTGCCTTTTGCAAGAAAAGCAGGCAAAGCACGCCAAGTGATAAACATTTCCCTTGGCTCTCCGGACCCAGTCAGTAGAATGGATGTGCCTCCCACATCGAGAGCAGCGAGCTCCATACCTTCTACAGTAAAGAGAAGGGCAGAACAGTAAAAGATTTTAATGCTTTCATGAGATATTTATCAGACTAATGTTAAACACATTATATACTCCACTGGCATTTAAACATTTTGAAAAAAATWAAAATATTTTCTAAAAGTCAGTATAGTAAGAAATCAAGATTTAAGATCACAATTCAGATCTATTTTTAAAAATAAAACCTCATGGCTGCTGTAAATGAAGACTGAATTTTCTTTTAAAATAAACAAAACATGAATTTTAATATTCTTCTTACTGGGTCAAATATCAAAGCATTTATAAATTTATTTAGAGACTCAAGATACAAATACACAAGGTGGGGGGAGGGGAAATGGACAGAAAAAGTAAAAGTACAAAAGTATACAAACTCAAGATATAAATATTGACTTCTTAAAAACAAGTTCAGGGCTGGGGTGTAGCTCAGTAGTATAGCATGTGCTTAGCATGCACAAGGTCCTGGGTTTCATCTCTAGCATCAAAAAGCAAAACAAATTTTAAACTGGGAAGTTGAGATTAGAAAATGCCATAAAAATACCATAAAGAAGATATTAGAACATTTAAAATAGAACTTATCAAATGATACACAGAATAGAAATTCTTCATCCTAGTGGGTGAAGAAGAAAACTTGGAATTGTATCCTTCCCCGGAAAAGCTAAGGCATTGCTATCCACAGAAGGGAAGAAATATTATCTAGAACTTTGGAGACATATTTAAATATTAGATGCAAATCAGTCTTAACAGAATGCCAGAGATAGGTGTAAATATTTCTTTTTTTCTTCCAGGCTGAGTGACTGGATGCTGTCATGACTCCTGTCACCAAAACAGCCCCCGCAACCCAGATCACACTAGAGCAGGGCATGTACATGCGCCGTCTCCTGGATGTGTCTTTGGAGAAACTACCAGATGTTATTTATTTTTTTWWWAAATAAATATATTAAAACTGAATCCTAAAAATAAATTTTGGAATATAATAAAATATGAAGTATTTAAAAGTCCTGAAGAACAAGATTTTCAACCTTAAAACCAAGTATTTCAAAGGGCTTTAATTTACCATAAAAAAAAAATAAGATCAGCATATCATAAGTGAAAGAGAAAGGTAAACTTTACTACTGTAGAAGAAATGGAGAGTAAACCTAATAAGAAATATACATTTTGAGTGATCATAATATTCTGTGATTTTCATAGAATAAATGATTCTGGGTATTACGAAGTGCTTCAAATCACCCAGCAATTTTATTCAAATCAATCACTAAACACTCTGTCTAAAATCACTTTTTTTTGTGGGGAGGGTACCAGAGATTAAAACTCAGGGGCACTCAACCACTGAGCCACATCCCCAGCCCTATTTTGTATTTTATTTAGAGACAGGGTCTCACTATGTTGCTTAGCGCCTTGGTTTTGCTCAGGCTGGCTTTGAACTTGAGATCCTCCTGCCTTAGCTCTGGAGCYACTGGGATTACAGGTGAAATCACCTTTTGAAATGAAGTATAACGTATACAGTATAACATACACTCCATAAACAATATAACATCCATAAATGGAGTATGACAACATAATAAGTGTTGCAAACTTTGCTACATAGTATTAATTTACCAATTTCACAATGAAAATTCCTCTTCATTTGCAAATGCAAATAAAAAGAAATATAGTAATTTCAAAATTCATGCTTACAAACCATTTCAATTTCCAACAGCTTGTCCATAAAGAATTGAATTATATCCTAGGAAAAAACTTTACATTTAAACAATTATAAGGAGATCAGAGAGTGAAAATGTTACATTTAATATCCTGTGAAAATATAATCTCACAAACTAAAGATCCAAAAACAGACAAAGAAATTGAATTTCTAGGCAGAATAATTCAATGGAGTGTACTTACAATCCTGACCAATGTACTTCTGGCCAATGTACTTGATCACAGTATCCAAACTCTTGTCATCTTATAGGTGTATAACTGGGATCCTTCTATGGTAAATTGTTCAAAGCTTTTTTTCAGTTTTTTCCCCCGAAATGATTTTATGTCATCTTATCATTTCCCCCAAAGAAAGAACTTTGTCACAATAAGTCATTTTGTATTTTATACTTTATACCCATGCACAGCAAAGCTTCTGTTCGTAATACATAAAACTTTCATTCTCCAGAGTGAAAATCTTTTTTGAATTAACTTTTGTATTCTAAATTCCTAAAAGCCATATAAACATACTTATTGTGTTTTAATATAATTTACACCCCAATATTTTGAAATCCATCATATGAAAAAAAATGGGGCTTCAATAAATAAAACTGTACAAGAAAAAGTCCAACAGGTGAAATCATTATAAAATCATTATAAAATTGTTTTCATAAAATTTCTTGAATTGTATACYAAGAAAAATATTCACCATGTACCTGAAATAATCGAGTTTGCAGAAAATGTCTTTGTCTTTAATATAACAGCTGGTGTGTCTTCCTAAGGAGGTTCTGCAGACACTGCAGGAGAGACACCGGACATGCCAGCACAAGTCATTCACCTGGGAAGGAAAGCAGGGCAGATGAGAAGCAGTCTGACACTACAATGAAGAACCCATTCACTGTTTTGTATGTGAGGCAACACTGGCCCTATCATATTTTAACATATGCTCTGGATGTTTCCATCCAAACAGTGTCATTTATATAAATATGCATCTGGATAGAGTCTATTTTAGACTCCAACTAGAAAATCACACTACTATATGCCWCATTTGTGTTTATGTTTTTTTTAAATTCCTCTAAAGAATTCAGGTTTATTCTTTCTTTTTCTTTTCTTCTCATCCCACCTCTTTGAGCACCAGAAACATTTTGGTTAAAGTCTTACATAGAGATTTTTTTGTTTTTCTTTTCCTAGRTTCTTCCTATAATGAAACCTGGTATTTAAGGAAGTCAAGACTAACAACCTATTTTTTTGTCCAAACAATTATAAACTGTATACCTGTTAAAGAGAGCAAAAAAGAAAGTGGAAAATTGCTTTATAAGATACTCACACTAACAAAGAAACTAGGCAATCCATTTCCCTTACAAACCAGAAATTGCTAAGGAAGCTCTAAAGGGTAATAAAGCAGTAGCCCTGGCAATAGAGCCAAGGAGTAAAACAATGGTAAGACTACTTAATGATTTGGCAACAGGGGAACAAACAGCATTATTTTCCATTTACACTTCAAGTAGTAAGATATAACATGGTATTTAACAAACAAACAAACAAAAAACACAGCACTTTTATACTTTCTAAATAGCAACAAGAAATATCACCAATTCAGGAAAACAAATCATAATTACTCTCACTTTACACTGTTGCCACGATACCATAAGCACAATTTTAGCCTTTAAGAATGAAGATGTGTGCTAGTTGAATTGGGCTGCTCATAAAGTTTGCTCTGTTAAACAGACACAACAAGTAGATTTATGCTTAATTAAATTTCATGTAAAAGAAGAGCAATGATGCAAAAACACCAGTTGCACACTACAAATGGATCTAATGACTAAAACAGGAAAGTAAATTACCATGAGGTTTGGCTTTTGCTATACTATTTCATAATAAAGACTTTTCTATCCAGTGATCTTGTCAGATTGTAACTTCTGTTCAACATATTTTTCCGTGATACAAAATACAAAACTTTTAAACTTAATGTAAAAAGATTTATTGGCTTCTAATTAGAGGGATATACCTCTTTCCAAAGCATTAATGAGGTGCTCATTTTCTATGAGATTTTAAGTTTTATACTTTAGTYTTTTTCTTTAAAAGAATTATATATGCACGATAGAAAACACTGAAAATAAGAAGCCAATAATAGGGGGAAATCAGAGAAAACTGAAATTTAAAATATTAACCACGATGAATACTGTCCTGGAGGTAAAGATATATTTCCCTTTTTCTTTGCCCCCTAAAATGTGGCCAATTACTATAAAGTTTAAAGGAAGATGATTTTTTTTAGTATTCTACTGTTCAGGGACTTCTGTATTTCTGTCACATCCAAGTTTTATTTTGTTTTGTTTTGTACTTTAAAGCAAGATTTTAGGGTCGAGCCATGGTCTACAAAAGCTAAACCTAATACCTGATTTGGCATCTTTCCTCAAAATTGACTTCAAAAAACAAACAACAACAAAAAAATGAAGTCCCTTAATCTTCCTTTTTTGGGGGCAGGGAGTAAAGTGAAGCAAAGAAAGAAGATTCTGGAAACTATAAACATTTACTGATGACTAGTATTGATAAAATCAGCATAAATGCTTAAACATAGGAGTAGGACCAAGCCAGAAAACCACCCAAATCACAAAACACTAAAGTAATAAATGGGGCAAAGATATATATAACTCCTTTTATACTTTTCTGTTGTAATTCCGTTTTACTTGCCTCACAAGAGAGTGTTTTTCTATTAGATACACCCTTAAATACTATTCCTATACTAGGTCTATTTTTTAACCAATGCCAAGTTTGAATTCAAATTTATCTGGAAGAATAATCAAAGTGTGGGGAGGTATGGAGTTAAGAACTTGGAGTTTTAAGACAGTCATACAGTATCAGACTTAATTTGGTGCCAGTACACTCATATATAAGTATTCTACAAGAATAAGATTCATGTGGAAGATTTTATTGGGCAGACTCCTGTCTCATTACAAAAAAAAAAAAAAAGCTTTGCATAACTCAGATGGCAGGTATTGTCTATAATACAAAGATATGTAAATATATATTTATGCAAGGTAAACACTAGAAACTATTTCAGAGGATGTGATTAGTGTTACTTCATCCTAATTTTCTCTGTTATGAAGTGTTAAAGTCTTCATAAACACATTTCAGAGAAATTCTTTTAAAAATTCAGCTAATTATTGGGAGGGCTCATTGAAAATAAGCAGTTGGTTTTGGTTCAAAAGATGATTTTAAAATATCAAAAGGCTCAGATTTAGCAACATTGAAATTGGAATTTTAAGAATGCAGATTTAAAGAGAAAGCCATGTTAATTTGCCAACTATAATGATCAACCACCAAGTAGGACAGACTTAGTTATTTTTAAACCTTTCCTTCAAAACTTTAAAACCTTTAAAACTTTTTTTGGTACTGTATCTGGGTTGTATAGGGTAATATTCCCATTTTACAGATGAAGCAGTTTTGTGCAATGACAGAAATTTACAGRGTTCCACTAACTCACTTTTTGAACTCATACTCTCCATAATTAATCCTTTTGAACCCCTTACATTGTGGGAAGGGAATAGAAAGTGAACTGGTTTGCAACTAATTCAGTTTAAGAGAAACTATTATTTTACATAGTGGTTTTAAAAAGCTATTGAAGTTGAAAACCTAATGTATTAGGATTAAGACACTTGGGACCATGATCCAGCCTGCAATGACATGGATAACTGGGCCTGCCAGAATTTCTACTCCAAAATTCCCCCACAATATTTCAAGAGAAAAGTAAAACAAATTAAGACAGTCAACTCTGAAACCACTTGAAACACTTCATCGGAGGCTCTTGTGTGTGCGTGTGTGTGCATGTCTAACTTCACATCATTTTCTATCTTTTTCCTTAAGCACTGGAGAGGACATAACAACAGCATTGGGTGGGCTTAAGAGCAGGAAGGTACTGAAAAAAAATTTTTTTTATTTAAATGCTCCTATAAACTTTCTTAATTTGGAAGAGTTTCAAGTAACTGTAAATAAATAAGACTATATTAAAAAGTATCCAGAAAAAAATCATTTAAGGTACTTCACAATGGCTTACGCCAAAGGAGACACTGCAAAGGGAAATCAGTTACCACATACTGACCTGGAACTCTTCTAAGCAGACAGGAGCGTGGGCGTTACTTGGGTGGAGGGATCAGTTAAAACAAAGATGTTTAAGAAAGCAATGGTTTGGGGCTTGGTAAAGAAATGAGAAGGCAAGCCTTTCAAACTGAGCAAGGGTTTCCCCAACTTCACGTCTGTCTACGAATCCGTTTGATTATGGTACATTCACCCAGGGAACTGGCATTTCTACACCAGGATATGTCTCGCATAAACTATTTTGCAGCAACATGAAAAGAGCCTTTTTTTTTTTTTTAATCACACTTGACTCACTGTATGAGTCGCCCTAAACTGGGCTAATTTTCTGAGGTCTACCATCACTACTGAGAACTGGGATGGAAAGGGCGGTCAGGGAGCTKTTCTCTTTCCCTTGAGCTTCCACGCTAACCCCGCGGCTCCATCCTACCTTGAGAAGGTATTTGTCCACAATCTCCAGGCCGCAGCTGTTGCATACACACTTGCCAGGAGGGCAGCCGGAGCCCGAGGCCATGGACTGGGGCGAGGACGAAGGGGACAGCGGGGCCGAGGAGGAGCAAGAGTCCTCGTCCCCAGCTCCCTCGGGGCTCACCTGCAGGAAACGCGCAGGCAGTTCTAGACCCCTCCTACCCTTTCGCAACCCACCTACCCACGGGGGAATCCCCAACGCCTCCCCTCCCTTCCCCCCAGTCGACCCCCACCCCGTCTATGAGGTCTCATTTCTACTTCTCTCTCCCAGGTCCCAGCTCTGGCCACSTACCCTCTGGGGCTGCTGACCCCTGACCTCGACGACCCCGGGAGCTATGCAACCTTGCCGGCCACTTGGGCCAGCTAACTTCCCACCCATTCCGGCCCTCCACCCGCTTCCAGTGGGGCCAGCTGGCCCAGGAAAGAGCTCTCGGACAGTTGTCCCTTGTCCTTCGCCCGCCTCCCCACTCACCAGTCCGTCTTCTCCGGGACTTTTCCKAGTCCTTCCAGCCGCCAGGGCTGCAGTCCGCCCGCACTCGTCCGACATGAGCCCCCGGCACTGAGGGGTGGGATGGAAAGAACCGAGRGAGAAACAAGATCAGAAGTTCAGAACGTGCACGCGGCCGAGAGACTCGGCACCGGGCGCGAGCTAATGAAGGCCCCAGCGCGCGGGCTGCGCGTGCAGCCTTCCCTGCGCCTGAGCCCTAGCGCAGCGGGCGCGAGGGCGCGCAGCCTCTCTTGCCCTCCGCTGGCTGCCGCCACCCGAACGCCAAGGGCTCGCCCCGGCGAGCTGCAGAGCTCCCGGGGAGCCGGGTCCCCTGTGCTCACCCGAGCACGTTAGTTCCCTGACCCCCCCGCCAGGGATAACAAGTTAATAACAATCATCCCCGCACAAAGCGTTTTCTTTCTAGACGTCAATCACCGCGAAGCGGGGAACACCGGGCTAAAGGGGGTGCAGGGCGGGGGGAGGTGAAGTGGGAGAGAAGAAAAGACGATTGAGGAGGGGGTGGGGGAAGAAACTTGATTTCTTTAATAACCTCAATTAAAAGAGCAAGACACATATATATTTTTTAAAGGGGGCTTTTTGAATAGGATAGCCCGAAAGGTGAAGAGGTTTAATAGGATACTTGAAAGCTAATTACAGCGGGATTTAAGAAGCCTGGTGTTTGTTCCGATGACAATTTGAATGAAAATGCTTCAGATTAAACCGAGCCAGCAGCTCTTTCGTAAACTTATAGCAATTAGAGCCATGAGTGATTTACACTCGTTTCTTTAAGGTGTAAATTGCCACTTATTGCTCAGTAAGTCAACATTTGAGCTACTAAGGGATTATTTTTAACCAGCGCAAAAAGCGGGTCGAATAATGGAAAATATCCAGCTGAATTTAATTTGTGCCATTAGAAAAACTCACCCAACCTCGGTCAGAATGTTTTAAAGCAACAACGCGCGTTACTAAAGTGTTTCCAAGCCGTTGCTGGAGTTTTGTTCTTAAAAGAAAACGCAGGCTCTGGGGCTTTTTCTGCCGCAGTATGAAAACTCTAGCCTGGGAGTTAGTGGATCTCCAGAACCCGAGTGGCCCACGCTTCCGTATTTCTCATTCGTCCTCCCCTCCGCTTTCTTCCGTGCTTTGAAAGCGTCAGACGAGATTCTGCCCGAATGTGGGGGTCTTGCGGACCCTATCAGGGACCCCCGGGTGCGTTCCCTACGAGGGACCGCAGCTGCACCAAGATGTACACAAAGAGTTCAAGCAGGAAAGCCCCAGTTTTGCCGGGTGTTACCAGCCAGCGTCCAAAGACATCAGTGCCTGCTGCGGGTCCTCCTGAGGCCCTCAAACAGGCTGCAGACGATTTTCAAACTGAAATCGCGATGCACCCGCAGTTCTTGCCACCAGAGTGAAGTGAGAGCTTGTCAGTCCCCCACCCCCATCTACCCAAACAGTCAGACTCGTTTTATGCGGTGGGATTTGCTTCCACTGGTGTTTTAATTAAAACGATGCTTCTGGCCCTTCCTGGGATCCCCGAGGCCTTCCTGGAGCCACGTCTCCCAGTATCTTGTTGTGGGGCAGAGGTAGCGCTGGTCGCCCTGCGGCCAGGGGCCCTTAAGGACGAGCAAGTGTCAGCCCGCAGCCGAACTCGTGGAGTCTACGGTCCCTCCCGACAACCGCCCGGTACTCCCGACCCGCTCTCCCGGATCTCCATAGCAAATAGAACAAAAGCACGACTCACATGGACCCGAGAGCGCCTTAGGCTGGAGGCTTCGTCTCCCAAATTACAGTCTCCATGCCTCAGGTTAAGTGAGCTTGTGCGGAGGGGGGCAATGATTACGGACTAGCGCTACTACGTAATAATAAAAAAAAAAAATTGCCAGGTCTGAAGATGAGGCCGGTTACAGGTCGTTTCTGAACCTCATTCAGAAGCCAAAACAACTCGCGTTCCAAGGAAACTGCAATTCAACTGGCCGGGCCAGTCATCGGCTCGCTCACCTTCTCTGGGGGAACTGCCAGGTCCGGCACGTCCTTTTCTTCTAGTTTACACACAAACATCTGATCGCTCTTCCAATACATGGCACTGCTAGGGCCGCTTATCACATACCAACTCCGGAGGATCAGAGGCTGCSGGTGGCTACAGATCTTTCCCCCTCCCCCGCCCCAAAGAACTAATAAAAGCTAACACCGAGGAGGATAGGAATGTCACAAGTGAGTCTTCGTCCAGAGAAGCCGCAGTGGCCGCAACCGCTCTCTGACAGATCGTACTAGAGATTCCTTTTCTGACTCCACTGAAGTCTGCCCCTCCAGGAAAGGGGGGGGGGTGTTTGCTTTCCAGAGGGTGGAACTTTACATAGAGGGAGGGGTGGGGGGGGGAGTTTTCCTGGAGGAATAGCCTCACCTACTTTAGGAAAACCCGCCTTCTCTACATGTTAAGATCTTTATCAGGACAAGCCAACTTACTCCAGGTTTAGTATTAAAGGGGGGAGGGGGGAACCCCCCACGGGGGATGGTCTGTTAACGTGATTTTTAAAAAATCTGCTCTCTGCGTTTGCCTTGGCTTTTAAATTCTCGCTCCCCAAGCAAAATCTAAACAAAGATTCAGGTTACATCCCGTTCTGCAGCAAGCAGAAAGGAAAGTGGAGGTCTCTGACTTGAACGTTTTAGCCATTCTCTCCCAAAGCGCATCTCCTCTGCATCTGAGGAACGCGACCGCTCGCTGGCAGCCCCGCGGCTGACTTACCTAGCGGTTSGCGCTCCATTTGAGAAAAGTTTTCTGATTAAGATAAAGAAGGAACATCTCAGCAGCACAAAAGCTTATGGTTTGCGACTAAATTTGAAATCAAGGCTACAAGAAAGACAGAAGTATGTTGCTAATGAGTATTGCTCTTTCATCTCATCCTAGACAGAATCTAAATCCTAGAAGCGGCCAGCTAGCTGCTGCATCGAATTCTGGCAGCGTGGGGGTACTCAGATGCAGTAATTTAGTAGGATTGGACGGTGTGTTTTTTTTAAACAGCTTATTTATAAATTTTACTTCGTTACTTTTAGTACATGAAGACGTATTTGGTAAGAGATTATGTTAAAATAATCATATTTCCAAACTCACCCTTTTTAAGAAACAAGAGAAAACGTTTGAAGCATAAGCAATATAAGAATATCTGGGAGGGACTAGGGATGTGGCTCAGTGGTAGAGCACTTGCAGTGAGACGGTGGGTTCAATACCCAGCACCACAAAAAAGATTAAATTAAAAATTAAAAAGAGCATTCTGTATAGGCTAGGTAGTTTTAAAAATATCTGTGAGTCTCCGTTTCTTAAAGGCCTTAACAAAATTATGTAATATTCCTTCAATTAGATATATATTATAAAAACATATATGCACTCACATATAATTTGCTTGCCTTATTTGTGTAGAAGAGGAAGATGGGAATGATCTTGTCCCGACAGGTCAGTAGCAGGCTAGCAGGCGAGTGAATGGGGATAGACAGATTTTCCTGTGATGAAGTGAGCCAGTGTTAAGAGTTTGGGGCCAAGAAATGTCTGCAAATTTGGTTTTTCCTCAATTATATTTTTTTTTCTCCCATAAACACGAGGGTCTTTAAAACATTTCCCTACAGCCATTGGTTTCCTTTTTTTCAGCAACTGTGCACAAGTTCATATCAGCCATCCCTCTACCAAGTCTTTTACCGGAGGAGTGGAGGGAGAAGAAAGCTCTGATTCACCTGGGACCCTGTAGAGAATTGAAGGATTGGGATGGACCGACTTCCAGAAAAGCTAACTTGTGCGTGAGGATCAGAAAGACTTGTGTTTTTCATCAAGTGAGAAATCAGTACTGGGGCAAGCGGGAATCCACATAATGCATTTTCCATGAGATAGCTCATTCCACGAGATGGCTGGTCCGAATGGAAAGTGCAGGAGTTGGCGCCATCAGGCCGTGTATAGCACAGAACTGCATTTAAAGTGAAATTAAAAATGAGGTCCAGTTTGGAGATTTAATTACCGTATATTTGTGTAACCGTTTGCAAAGTACTATGGAGTGCTATTTGTCTACGATCGAGAATCATTTGCGCGGGTCATTTGGAGATGCCAAGAGCGCTAAAGCTGTTTGGGGGAAGTGGGGCGGGGGCGCTGGCGTTTATGCGGTCTTTTCACCCACCCTCGCCTAATCAGGCGGCTCTCAATCAGGTTTTCAAAATACTAATCTTGATCTAAGAGCTCCTATCTCTGCATAAGTGGAGGAAATGATTCATTTTTAGAGCCTTCTGGGCTTGGGAAAGGAGGATGGTCGTCACACATAAGCAGAAGACCTAAAAGCCAGGACTGGCGTCTGCTTTACTTCTGGCACTCTGCGGGACACGGACTTCTCCTGCGGTGTTAATTTCGTGCACCCAGCTTGCTCGGTAGGCTACCGGGTGGTGAGTCATTTTCTGTATGGCGGGCGGTGCAAGCCTTTGGGTGAGGGTTGAATGTGGACGTGGGCGGAGGGGAAAGGGCAGGTATTCTAAATGAAAGCTAGGGCTGATCGCCCCGCCGGTCTTGGGCCCAACGACCTCATGACCCCCTGTGATCGGCCAGTCTAAGAGGGTTCCATAGAAGCCCAGCTCCTTGGAGTTGGCCTCACACTTCTTACCTACATTCCTCCTTGGCTCCGGCAAAGAAACAGTTCACCTGCTGCTTTGCAGAGAATCTTTTCCCACTTTTAGGTACTTGGGCTAAAAATCAGAAGGTATAAGTATGGGTGTATGATATGTCTATCTTCATAATGAGAATTTTTAGCCAAAACTTCAATTCAGATCAATTTTGAACCAACGAGGACAGAACAAAAAACATCCCGTGTGTCTGCGGGTGGGAAAAGAATGAACATGGGATCTTGGTTCTTACCTACTAAATTGAAAAGTCTAGATGGTCACCTCTCCTCAAATACCAGTGGTTGACGGCCCACTCAGGGGGACTACCAACACCCCTGGACCACCTGGATCTTTCCAAGAAGGGGTGGGATAGAAGAGATAGCCAGAGGGACTTCCGAATATGTACTGTCCCTGTCCCAGACTGTGTGCCTTCCTAAAACCCGAGGGTAAGGAAAAGGGTCTGGATCCCTTAGAGTCAGTTCTTGATTGGAGGTCCGGGACTGGAAAGTGGGAACACCAACCCGCCTCGACCCCCACAGCTTCCACTCACCGCGAAGAGCCGCCTAATTGGGCTGTGAGCAGCTGCGAAATTTGTAATCGTCTAATAAGCCTTCCACCTCGGTAATTCTTATCAAAAGGCATAAAACTGATATTTTCACACCCGGCTCGCACCACAGGCGCCATTTATAAACATCCTTCATCAGTGGGATGAAATTAAGCCTGCATTGACAGAGGTCTCTGGAACTCGATATTTAAAAGCAATATATCCGAATTAGCAAATTATTACTTTAAGTAGAAAAAGTCCCCACCAACTTAACGGTTGAATCTTTTGCTTCTGAGTTCCTCGCAGTGAGTAACCACACGTTTGAGAGAACTTAACCTGGAGGTTCCACGGAATTCAGGCAATCTCGGCTCCCTGAATCACTGCCAGCTCTGGCTCCCAGCTCTCACTCACCCCACTACGAGGACTCGCCTGGTTCAGACCGGTGTAAACCTGGGCAAGGCACTGCTGGGGCCTGGGAGAAAATCTGGTCAAACTAGTCGCAGCCAAGACTCTGGGGCCTACAGTTGCTGAACCTGCAGCTTTGCAGCATAGTGCTTCCGAGCCGCGCCACCTTAAGGGTCCACCTCCCAGGTACCCAGCCAAGCGCACAGCTAGCAAGACGACTGTTGAATGCCATAGCGGTACGGAAGTGTTCCGCGCCGGTAAGAAGGAGCAGCCTGCAGCTGATTCTGGCGGTGACTCCTTCCAGCACTGAAGGTGAAACCTCAGCCAAGATCGTTCTTAACTGCGGATGTCTCACTTGGTTCAGAGTTTTCAGAAAGTGTCTGGATTTTTGCCCACCCCAAGTATTGTATTAGTCTGGAAAGATACTGAAGGAGATAGCTTCTAGAGGTACAAACTTGTGCTGCTCAGAATCTGAATTACCCCTCAGAGCTCATGGAGTTGGAAACCCACTCACCTTGGGACTTACCGGTCCCAGTTTCCTTTTTAGACCTCATCAATCTGCAGTTTTCCAAGGGAAAGGACGTTTATTCATCCAGAAGGAGGTCGCCGAATGGTGGAGAATGCCTTCGTCTGCGACCTACTGTTTTCGCTTCGCATGGCTTGCCCAACGCGGAGGCTTGGTAGACTTTCCGGCTAGGCGAGCGGGTTGGGCAAGCATCGGACCTTCGGCAAGGCACAGCACATAGACCCGGTCCCCTGCAGGGGCGCCTCTATCTCGAAGTCAGGTCAAGCGAACCAGCTGGGAACAGTTGCCTTAGGCGATTCGGAATATCCAACAACCGAAAGTCAGGTTTTGAGCCCTGGAGCATGTACACGTGTATTAGGTGTTTCTTTTCAGCCCATGAGTGCGCGCCGTCTTGAGCGCAGTAAACTGTCCTAGTCGGCTGCGGAAGAGGTCAGAAGAAGCGATTCCCACTTGGTGGAAGAAATAAACTTCGGAGCCTTGGAAAGCCCGAAATTAGGGGAAGGGGCAGTCTGAGATACTCCCAGGCTGAACAGTACAGTGAGAAAGAAAAACGCAAAAGTACATTCATTACGTCTTTTACTCATTGTGACATTTCCAAGCCGACAATCTCGCCTTAAGCACGCCTGTGGTTTTGAGCTGCCGGTTTTGTATGCATTTTGCCTTTTTCAATGAGCAACAAAGCAGGAGCAGTGGAAATTTGATTCCAACATTTTTATAGAATTTTGCCCTCGAATAACTGCAAAAGCCCAAGTAGAAGGTGGAGAGAAAAAAATATCCAATTTGGTCTCCTTGCCCCCCCCCCTTTCCCTACACGTCCTAGGCACACCGTGTAGATCTAGTCTGGGACTTGCTAATCTAGGAAGATAGAAACCCCATCCCTGAAGGTTTAGGCTTCTGGCTTGATGGACCCCCATCCCCAGTTCCTCGAGATACCTGAGTGGCTAATTAAAACGCAGCCAGAGTGCAAGGAAAGCCAAACTTAACCTGAGTGCCTAAAACACGGGTGCCAGACAGTATTTCCTGGGTTGGACCGATGTGCAGGAGACCTTATGGGCTTCCCATTACCAGGCTTTGATAAGATTTTAATAGGGCAACTCGCACCCTGATTGTTAACTAGTGTGAGTGAGCCCCAGCAAGCTCTAGCTGTCCCGCC